GTTTCTTTGAAAAACTCGAACAGCTGGTACAATTTGGATCTTTTGCGTCTTAAACGGAAAAGGGACAAATGGTACAAAAAGTTTTGTAGATCTAATAATGACAATCATTGGACTAGGTACACAATCACGCGTAATAAGTATTCACAATCGATAAAGAAAACTCGTTGTGAATATGTTCAAAGGAAGATTGATCAGCATCAAAACAACAGCAAAGAGTTATGGAAAATTTTGAAATCTTTATTAAAACCTAGTAATTGCAAACCGCGGTCCATAACTTTTAATGGCACATTAGAACAGTCAGAACAAGTAATTGCATCTAAGTTTAATGATTATTTCGTAGACAGTGTTTCATTGATTAATCAATCTATTGAATTGGTCGATGAACCTGACGAAATAAAACAGCCAGCTAATAGTAGTTGCAGATTTGAAGCTTTTTACCCAATTACATTAGATGAGCTTAGAGTTATTTGTTTTTCATTAGGAAAATCGGCTGGAGTAGATAATGTTAATGCTAGAGTTATTCAAGATTGCTTTCATGTCATTGGCCACATCTTTCTGGATCTTATTAATGAATCATTGCAGAATGGACATGTGCCACAAATTTGGAAGGATTCCTTAGTGATTCCTATTCAAAAAGTTGCTGGAACGATTAAAGCCGAAGAGTTTCGTCCCATCAACATGTTGCACACATTAGAGAAAATCTTAGAACTTGTTGTTAAAGGCCAGCTGTTGGAGTATTTGAATAGCAACTCTTTGTTGATACCAGAACAATCGGGATATCGGGAAGGTCATTCTTGTGAAACTGCATTGAATTTGGTGTTAGCAAAGTGGAAAGACAACTTGGAGCGTAAAGATACGATTGTTGCTGTTTTTTTGGATCTGAAACGCGCTTTTGAAACAATTTCTAGGCCCTTACTGTTAAGTACAATCAAGCGCTTTGGAATTACGAGTACTGCATATAAATGGTTTGAAAGCTATTTGTCTGACAGAACTCAACGGACTGTTTTTAATGATTCTGTTTCCAGTCCCGTGGGGAACAACCTTGGAGTGCCCCAGGGAAGTGTATTAGGGCCCCTTTTATTTATTATGTATATTAATGACTTGCGACGTGTTTTACGGTTTTGCGACATTAACCTTTTTGCAGATGATACTGTGTTATTCATTGCAGCTAAGGATTTAGAAGTTGCCGTCTCACACTTGAATGAAGATTTGCAGTATCTAAGTAGATGGTTGAAGTGTAAGCAGTTAAAATTGAATACAAGTAAAACTAAATTTATGGTAATTTCGCGGAATCGATTAAATGAGAACGTCTCTGTTGTAATTGATGATGAGACTATTGATCGCGTTCAGGAGATTAAATATCTTGGCGTGATTATTGATGACAAACTTAAGTTCAACTCTCACATTGACAATGTCATCAAGAAAATTGCCAAGAAGTATGGAATTCTATGTCGATTGAAAAATGATTTAACTATTGCTAGTAAAATACAGCTATACAAATCAATCATCTCTCCTCATATAGACTTTTGCCCATCCATTTTATTTCTGTCCAATGCAACACAAATATCGAGATTACAGCGCTTGCAGAATAAAATAATGCGTTTGATTTTGAGATGTAATAGATTCACTTCCTCAACTTTGATGCTAGACGCCTTACAATGGTTGTCGGTGAAGCAAAGAATTGTATATTTGACTATGGTGTTCATTTTTAAAGTAGTTAACGGTTTGCTGCCTCGATATTTGTGTGATCGAATTGAAAGAGGAAGTGACTATCATAGATATAATACTAGAAACGCGGATGAAATAAGAACACCACATTTCTTGACTTGTGCTTCACAGAATTCATTATTTTTTAAAGGAATAAATGTTTTCAATTCGATGCCTAGACACATTAAACGTTCAACAACATTAGCAGAATTTAAGAGACATTGCATTTCACACGTTAAAACTGTCTTTTGAACGGTTATCCAGTGATTTTTTTTATGAATTGACAAATTATGTATCTTGACGAAGTTATTTTTAACGGATTACTTTGTATGGATAGCTGTTATAACGACTTTTTAATAATTATTGTAGCACTGCAAAAACTATTTTGTTCGCCACGATGGTGATGATGGATTTTTGATATATGATTTAATAGTAGTAGTAAAAAAAAATAGTAGTCTACAAAGGTTTGAGCCTCGCGCGCGTATTACGGATATAGAGGACTGAATTTAACATTTGATAAAAAAAAATGCAATTTTGAAGCTTATTTGGAAGATACCTTGAGTTAGTAGTAAGTTTTCTGGCAAATGTTGGGGGTTCGTGAGCATTCCTGACATTGCTGAAAATTATGATAGCATCAGATTGCGGGGTTACTAGTGTAATAGGATGCTTTGTTGATTGTTCATTAACTCTTGATTGCTTGTAATACTTATGAATATTTTAGGTGGACAAAAAGGCGAACTAAGAGGTGGACGCCTGAGCTTTTCAACATTTATATCGCTGTGAAGCAACTGTAAACTCTAGAGGGAATTTATATCTGTAACTGAAACCAGTTCGATTTTGTTTGCCAACCTGGTTAAAATGTCATATTTAATTATCTTAAAGATAAATCGTCCAGCTCAAACCTTTGTAGGGGTAAGAGGTGGGACCATCATCATCATCATCATCATCATCAGCAGCACTACGATGAACATCTGAACGGCGCAGAGGCGGAGGACCAAGGCGGCAGGAGGAATGGCTTCGTCGGTACAGCGAATGAGGGGGGCATTCCAGGTGAAGTTAAGGATGCTATCCAACAGCTTAAGAACAACAAAGCAACTGGGAAAGATGGTATCGGAGCGGAACTTATCAAAATGGGCCCGTATAAGTTGGCCACTTGTCTGCACCGACTGATAGTCAGGATCTGGGATACAGAACAGCTACCGGAGGAGTAGAAAGAGGGAGTAATATGCCCAGTATATAAAAAAAGGCGACTATTCTTAACGCGGCCTACAAAGTGCTTTCCCAGATCATCTTTCGCCGTCTATCGCCGCTAGCAAGCAGATTTGTGGGAAGTTATCAAGCCGATTTTGTGGACGGGCGATCGACAACGGACCAAATCTTTACGTTGCGGCAGATCCTCCAAGTCCCTACGCACCACCTATTCATCGATTTCAAGGCCGCTTATGATACTATTGACCGTGAAGAGCTATGGAAGATTGTGGACGAGAACGGTTTTCCCAGGAAGCTCACCAGACTGATCAGGGCTACGGTGGATGGTGTACAGTGCTGCGTGAAGATATCGGGTGCGTTATCGGACTCGTTTGAAACTCGCAAACGACTTCCACAAGGCGATGGTCTTTCCTGCCTCTTGTTCAACATTGCACTAGAAGGTGTTATGAAACGTGCAGGGTTTTAACATGCGGGGCCACGATCGTCAATAAGTCCAGCCAGTTCATCTGCTTCGCTGACGACGTGGACATTGTCGGAAGAACGTTTCAGGCCGTGGTGGAGCAGTACGCCAGGCTGAAACGTGAAGCAGAGAAGGTTGGATGAAAGGCGAATACGTCGAAGACAAAGTATCTGTTAGCTGGATGAACCGTGAAGCGTGACGATCGACGGAGATGAGTTCGAGGTGGTGGATGAATTTGTGTACGTCGGATAGCAACTGCAGCAGAGAAATTCGTCAGCGTAATATTGCCGGAAGTCGTGCTTACTGCGGAGTCCACAAGACCCCCTGAGATCGGGTAAATTTCACCTCCGTACTAAATGTACCATGTACAAGACGCTCTGATAAGACCGGTAGTTCTCTACGGGCACGAGACGTGGACGATGCTCGAGGAGGACCTGCAAGCACTGGGTATGTGAGAACGGTGTATGGAGGCGAAGGATGAACCACGAGCTGGCGCAAAGAAAGTTGCGAAAGCTGGACGGGTACGATGGGCGGGGGACACGTTTTAAGAATGCCGGACAACAATCCCGCATAAATGGTGTTTGCCTCGAATCCAGCCGGTACAAGACGAAGAGGAGCACAGCGAGCAAGGTGGTTAGACCAAGTGGAGCAGGATCTTGGAAGTGTGGGACGGTCAAAAAATTGGAGACAAGCAGCCACGGACCGAGTGAATTGGCGTAACATTGTGATGCAGGTGCAATCCTGAGGGATGTCGGACCAGGATAAGTAAGTAAGTAAGCAACAATGTGTTACCAACAATCAATACGAAACTAACGATTTCAAATTGGCTCACTACTTGACTAGCCTATTGGTCCCAAGCAAATCGATTAACGTACCCCATTCTAGTATAAATTCTAGTACTACACAATGTTTGTTTTGATTCACTATGAAAGTTTGACCGATAAAATGAGGGGTTAGTGGATTTTCCTAAGTTTCGAGGGGTGAATCGATTAGCTTGGGACCGAAGATAGTACCAGAGCTAAGCCAAAAAGTTGAGCTCGTTTCTTCGGGACCTTCTGGTCTTAGAGTTACCTCTATGGTGTTACTCTTTATGAAATCTTACGGTACGTACGGAAAGTTAAATAAATTTGCAAGGGATCTGAAGTGAAGTGCTTAGTAGGCCTAAAATTAGATCTAAAGGTACGTTTAGACTATCTGATTTGTTGGTCTGATTCGAGCGGATTGCTCGATAATTTTGTCGGATGCAATGATCGAATGCGTTCACACTTTTTCGACATGATGATTAGATTTGACGTTTGATTTGTCGAACGTAATAGGTTTGTGGTTAATTTTCATTCGACTCATTCAGTGAAATGAAAAAAAAATGATTTTTTCTTCTAAAAACATCCAGCAGCAAGGTAAACCGATTTCACTATTCAATGTTTTTTTTTTTTTTTTTTTTTTTCTTTATTAGAGAGATTTTTAGCCTAAGGCTAGTTCATCTCTTTTAAAAATTACAAAAAAGAATTGGGACCTCAAAAGGAGGATCCCAATCTTGGCAAGTGGGCATTTAGTTTAATTATATAAAATATTGTAAAACACTACCAAAAGGGCCAACGAATTCAAAAGCACAAACAGAAAACACTCAAATGTTGTAAAAAAGATTCGCCTCCTTCAGGAAGGCGATGAGGGCGTCTGCTGCCGGGGACTCGTCGCCAAGCAGACTTTGTATGCTGGTTCCCTCCAGACCGAAGGCAACCCGAAGGTCCTCGAGCTCCACACAGTTGATGAGGATGTGTTCTACGGAGGCTGGCACTCCGCAGGTTTCGCAGGTTCTCCGGAACGGTGTTCCTCCGAAATTATGGGAGGCCCTGCTATGCCCGGTGCGCAGCCTGGACACCACTTGCTGCTCCTTGAGGCTCGGTCGATCCTTCCAGGAATCGGTGGTCGCCTTGATTTTTCGTAGTTGGTGAGTTCGATTGTTCCTCCACTCGTTGTCCCACGCTCTCCGAACCGTCCGCTTGATCCATTTTTTGATGTCCTGGAACGGAACATTGTCAGAGAACCTGGGTCCGATGGGGCCTGAGCCGGCGAGGTGGTCGGCGATCACGTTCCCCTGGATGCCACAGTGCCCGGGTACCCACATGTATACGGTGTTGGGCGGCGCCTGCGTTACCGTCCCTTGTATCCACGGATGCTTTGGTGCTTCATCGGTTAGGGCCATTATTGCGCTTTGTGAGTCGGTAACGATGAGGATCGGCCGATTTCCCGGAAGGGAGGTTGCGTGAAAGACGGCCGCTGCCTCAGCGGAAAACACCGAGCACTGGGCCGGAAGTGAATTGCTGACGACCAAACTATCTCCTGAAACCCCCATTCCCACTCCGCTGCTGGAGAGCGAGCCATCAGTGTACCTGATTTCGTGATCTTGATAGTGCGCCCCGAGAGTTTCGATGACTGTCCGGCGCAAAGCCAGTGTATTGTCTCCTGCCCTGAAGCGGTCCTTGATTCGGCTGTCGATTCTGATCTGATGTGATTGCCAACTTTTGTCTCCGTGCCAGTGGACCCTGGCCACTGGAGGGAGATCTACGTCGGCGACCGTGCGGAGGAGTCGGTTCGCCTCGTCGAGGAGAAAGATCCTGCTGTTTCCCGACGTTTTAGCGAGGAAGGCAGCGGCTTTGGTAGCGGTAGCTGCGGTGTAGACGAGCCGAAAAGGCAGAATACCGGCTTCCACGCACGCGGCGTCGGCCGGGGTGGAGGGCAGGAGACCGGAGACTGTTCTTACGTATCCGTTGTAGACCGGTTCCAAGATTTGGACGGCTTTCTCGGCGGCAAGGCACGTTAGTTCTACGCCGTACAATAGGCGACTGTCGATGATGGCTCGGGCTACCCGGAAGCGGATTTCACGGTTGTTGGATCGGTGGGGGCGGGAGATGGTCTTCATCAGGTTGGATCGACTACGACAGTCCTTCTTCACCTGTTGGAAGTGCGGCTCGAGGGATAGGTTCCGATCGAGGAGCACTCCCAGGACCCTTATTGTGTTTTTGGTCGGTATCGCTTGCTGTTTGATCATGATGGGCTGTCCGTTGTTCCGATGCCGGGTGGTGCATATATGGCAGAGCACGCTCTTGCCGGCGGAAAGCTGGAACCCAACGGAGTCAGCCCATCTGACCACCGAGGAGACTGCCGCTTGCGCCCTTAATTTCGTCCTCTGCCGGGTGGGGCCCACCGTTACAATGAGGACGTCATCCGCGTAGACGAAAATATATATGTTCCTGGGTAGCTTGTCGAAGACCCCACTATTCAATGTGTATAATTTGACTTATTTTGATTTTCCAGTGTGTTTGGCCGTCAACAAAACAGTGTTTATATATTACGAAGTTTGTATTATATAAGAATAAGTATGTCAGCAGGTCTGAAAGCCCACTAAGAATTTTTTAGTGCTTCAGAGAGATTTGGAGATCTATTGAGAAATTTGTTGAGCTTCAGGGTAGTTCGTAGATCTTGAGAACAGAACTACGAAACTTCAGAAGATTTTACAGAAATAAAAAGAAACTTGCAGGAATTCAAAAAAAATACAAGAGAGATCGTAGATCTTCAGAAAATTTAGAACTTCAAGCAAGGTTAAATATTTTCAGATCAATTTGTAAAACTATAAGGGAAATTTTGGTAAATATTCAGGGAGCTTCGAAGACCTTCAGAAATGTCCTAGAATCTATAGTGAAATGTAAAGAATTTCACAGAAGTTTGGAGATCTACTGAAAGAAATATTGCACATCAGAAAAGTTCCTAGATTTTCAGATCAAAGCTACAAAACTTTAGGAAAATCACAAGAATGGTCATAGATCCTCAGATAAATTTTTAAACCTTCAATAAAGAGTGCAGCTTTTCTGAAGCATTTTTAGAATGTCAGAAATTTTAATTTATCTTCAGGGAAATTTGCAAAACTTCAGGGAAGTTCGGCAGCTCAAAAAATATTTATAAGATTTCAGGAAAATTTGTAGTTCTTGAGAGAAACATTTAAAACTTCAAGGAAGCTCAACAATTTTCTGATAAATTTTGAGAACATAAGGTAATTTAGAAGATCTGCAGGGACATTTTCAGATGTTCAGGATAGCGTGAGAGCCTACAGAGGAATTTACAAAACTTCAGACAAGTTTGTAGATCTACTGAGAAATGTATTGAGCCTCAAGGTAATTCGTAGATCTTGACAATTAAACTACAGAACTTCAGACAACTTTACAGAACTTTAAAGGTACTTGCAGAACTTCACATTTAGTGATTCAGTGTTTCAGAAAAGTACTTCAATTCCAATTCCAATTCCAATCGCCAATAATGGCGAAACTTGCTCCCAGATCGACCACGTGTTGGTGGATGGTCGGCATTTCTCGGATGTCGTAGATGTCAGGACCTTCAGGGGTCTTAATATCGACTCGGATCACTACCTCGTTGTCGCGAAAATTCGAGCGCGTCTATCGACCATTACGAGTTCAAGATCGATGCGTTTCAACATCCAGCGTTTGACAGTAGATGGTGTTGCTGCAGAGTACCACCAGAAGCTGAATGAGCGGATAACGGAATTCAACGTGAACAATCAGTGGCAAGCTGTCCAGGGAGCGGTGAGCACAACAGCACGAGAGGTGATAGGTATAGCTCAGAGGCGCCCCCGGAACGGGTGGTTTGACGAGGAGTACCAGCGAGTGACAAAGGAGCAGAACGTCACCAGAAGCCGGATGGTGGTGTCTGGTACCCGTCAGAACAGAGAGCGGTACAGGGTAGCAAGGTCAGCCGAGAAACGAACCCATCGCAGGAAAAAAAAGGCAGTACGAGGAACGCGTTATTGCTGAGGCGCAAGAAAGTATGGAGCAGAATGATATGCGAAGGTTTTACGCAACTGTCAATGGCGTGAGGAGTAAGACAGCGCCGTCTCCCGCCATGTGCTATGACCGTGAAGGTAATCTGCTGACAGATAAAACGATGGTGGCTGCCAGGTGGAAGGAGTACTTCGAGACGTTGCTGAACGGAGAGAACGAGAGAGCATCTACAAACAGAACACACATCGACGACGATGGTCAAGTTGTGGAACCACCAACGCTAGAGAGGTGAAAAAGGCTATACGAGAGCTGAAAAACAGTAAGGCTGCGGGGAAGGACGAGCTCCCGGCCGAACTTCTCAAACACGGAAGTGAGCAGCTGCACCAGATGATCCACCGTATACTGCTCAAGATATGGGAGGAGGAAGAATTGCCCGCTAGTTGGTTGGATAGTCTCGTTTGTCCCCTCTACAAAAAGGGACACAGACTGGAGTGCGCCAATTACAGAGTAATCACGCTTCTGAATTCGGCGTAAATATTATCACGTGTTCTGTTCAACAGATTGAGACCGCTTGAGGAATCCTTCGTCGGCGAATACCAGGCTGGTTTTCGTGAGGTTCGATCAACGACGGATCAAATGTTTACCCTGCGTAAAACTCTTGAGAAGTTCCGGGAATACAACTTGCAGAGACTCATCATCTTTTCATAGATTTCAAGGCAGCGTACGATTCAGTAAAGAGAAACGAGCTATGGCAGATAATGCAAAAAAACGGTTTTCCGACGAAACTAATTAGGCTGATTCGTGCAACGCTGGTACACCCGGGTTGCAGACGAGAGTTCGGCCTCGTTCGTGACCTTAGATGGGTTGAAGCAGGGAGATGCTCTTTCGATCTTACTATTCAACATCGCCCTCGAAGGAGCGATTAGGAGAGCTGGCGTGCAGAGGAACGGTACCATCATCACAAAGTCACACATGCTCCTTGGTTTTGCGGACGACATCGACATCATCGGAATCGACCGTAGAGCAGTGGAAGAGGCGTTCGCGCCTTTTAAGAGGGAGACAGCGAGGATTGGTCTCACGATAAATTCTACCAAAACGAAGTACATGGACGCCGGTAGAAAGCGTGGGAGCAATAGTGTTGTTGGTAGTGAAGTGGTGCTAGATAGCGAAAAATTTGAAGTTGTGGACGAATTTGTTAATCTTGGTACTTTAGTGACGTGCGATAATGATGTTGCCCACGAGGTGAAAAAGCGTATTGCAGCCGCGAACAGGGCTTTCTACGGGTTGCGTAGCCAGCTGAAGTCCCGCAGCTTGCGTACGAAAACGAAATTCGCACTGTACAAGACGTTGATTCTGCCGGTAGCCCTTTATGGCCACGAATCGTGGGCATTGAAAGCGGCCGATCGGAGAGCTTTCGGTGTCTTCGAGCGTAAAGTGCTGCGAACAATACACTTAATAAACTGGAAAATGGCATCTGGCGGCGTCGCATGAATCACGAGTTGTACCAAGTATATAAAGGCATGGATATTGTGAAGCTTATAAAACACGGCAGGCTACAGTGGGCTGGGCATGTGGCACGAATGCCGGAAGAGCGTCAAGCGAAGTCAATATTCAGCAGGGAACCCGGAAGAGGACGTCGGCTTCGGGGTAGGCCACGCACGCGTTGGCTTTGTGCAGTTGAGGAGGACATTAGGTCCTTGAACGTCCAAGGCGACTGGAAGCGATTGGCGCAGGACCGAGACCAATGGAGACGGTTACTTCGTTCGGCACAGATTTGAATTCAACGAGTCGTCGCTTAGGTACTTCAATTCCAAAAATCAATCTCAGCGAAGTTCAAGATTTTTGCAGAACTCCATGGAAGTTGGAAATAGATAGATCTGAAGAACTTCAGAAAAATCCGTAGGCCTTAAGAGAAGTATGTAAAACTTCAGGAAGTTCGTACATTTTTAGAAAAAAAAAATGCAAAACTAACAAAACTTCTGGAAAGTTTGCCGATTTTTAGAAGTTTTCACACAACTTCAGAGAAATTCAAATATTTTCAGATAATTTTTCGAGTTTTGAAGAATTTCAAATAAATCTGCAGAACTTTATGGAAGTCCAAGAATCCACAAAGAAACGTTGAGAACTTTAGAGAAGATCTACTGAAAAATCTGCAGAATTTTATTGAGGTTCTTGGATGTTAAGTGAAATTTACAGAATTTCTGGGAAGTTCGCTGATCTTTATAGATATTTGCACAACTTCACAAAAATTAGTAGATCTTCAGAGAACTTCCTTAAATTTCCGGGAAGCTAAAAAATTTCTAGATAAATTTTTTAAACTAAAGGGAATTGCATCTACGCAGAGATATTTGCAGATATTAATTGAATCATAATATCTACAGAGAAGGCTATGTAACTTTCGAGAAGTTCGTAGATTATTAGACATTTAGTCAGAGATAATTGTTGATATTTAAGGATATTTAATCTGAATGGATTCAGAAACTTTGTAATTTTTTAGAGAAATTTGCAGATCTTCTAAAGAAAATACAAGACTTCTAAGAAATCTGCAGAGCTACCGAGAAATTTGCAGATCTTCAGAAAAGTTTGTTGATTTTCAAAGATATTTTACCAGGGAACAGAAATAAAGCTTCAGGGACGTATAAGGTTTTCAGAGAACTATGCAGAATTGAGATCAAAACAGAAATTTTCAGAACTCAAGGAATCACGTAGATCTATAGAGAACTTTTCCCACTAGCTTGATGAAAGTTGGTATCGATATCCTGGCGAAGTTTTGAAATCCTTTTTCGTCTTAATATCGCAGTTCTTGAATGACAAGATGAGCCAACTATTTCCTACTCCCCAAAGTTCACCTCCTCATTCTCATTTTATTTAAAACAATAAAAGCAAATACGCCTGCCACAGCTAGAGCAATTTTCCGGTAGTTCATTATGGGAGCATTTACTTTTGATTACTGATAAAGTGCAGTGTGAACACCAGCAAACAGGGGGGTTCGACAAAGTGTGTCGAAAGTAAAATCGATCAGATTTTCCATTACAGCGGCGGACAAAATCAGACCAAGAAATCAGATAGTCTAAACGGACCTTAAGACCTACCAGAAATAGCAAAGGCCCTAGGTTACTGCCTTTTGGTTCTCTGATGTGTTCTTGAGCTCACTTCTCCCATCGTTGACATTGCGAACAAAAACCCGTAAGCAGATTATTAATTAAACAACAATAGCTCACGTTTTGACGGTGCCGGTGAGTGGTAAGTGTGTATGGGT